AACTGGACAAAAGAGTGTGAGAAGAGGGAGAAGTGCCAAAACTGAGGGAAGGGGCAGGAGGGATGGGTGGGTGAGGAAAAGGGGGTGAGAAAAAGCCAAAATTGTCACAAAGGGGAAATGGTGGGGATTTTAGAGAGGAGCAGCTGTGCCTGGTGAGTGCATCAGTAACAGCATTGAGGCCAAGGTTTCCTACAGGACAGGAGCAGAAAAAACCAAATTCTAGCATGGCACAGCACAGCTGGGATCACTGGGGGACAGCCATTAGCAATTACACAGTAATATCATTATTATTTAGAAATTATTTAAGAGAGCAGGGCAGAGAAGGAGAGAGAAAAGGGTGGTGAGTGAAAAAGAGAATCAAGAGATGAAGCAAGTCATGCTCAGGTGTGATTTGAGCTGGAAATTCTCAGCTTGAGCTCAGGAAATTCTCTGCTTCAGCAGCATTGGCAGGTCAGGAGGAAAACCAGTTTTGTTCTGATGATCTCAAACATGACAAATCTGATTTTGTGCTCAATTATTGCAGTTCCAGCCCAGAGCACACCCTGAGCAACCTCACTGCACCTCCTGCCAAAGGCCACTCACGGAGCAGGGGGTTCAGAACCCTCTTCAGCTGCTCCCCTCTGGGTGCACTGCAGATGATTTCAGTCAACCTGCAGCAAGGAGAAAAGAAAAAGTTGCAGTTCCAAAGAATAATGTGGTTTAGAACAACATTGCGTTGCTTAGAAGCTACAAAACATTTCCAGCCTTAAAAAAAAATGAAACTAAAAATGGCCTGGAATGAAATACCCAAAGATTTTTCACAGCTCTGATAAATTTGGGGTTGTTCCTAATAAATACACCATTAATGAGCTCTGAAGTTCCTGGGGATTTCTGAAGGAGTTTGCAATGAGCTAGGGATGGGAGCTCTGAGTTTTTTAGATAATGCTGTTTATTTTCTTATCTTCTACATAAACAGGAGGGGTGAATTCAGCTCACACCTTCACTGCAGGGCTCAGAAGGTCACAAGACCCCCAGTTACAAGATTTTTAAAGGATTTATTGACCAATAAACCACCACCAACGAGGATATTTATGTTTTTAACCCACCACCAACGAGGATATTTATGTTTTTAACCCAAGCCTTAAATGTTTCATCTCATGGACCCACGCTGCAGTGTGAGCTTTCTTAGCCACTCCTGTTATGGCACACAAACCCACAGTGCTGCACCCTACACTCCTTGTTTACCTCTGGAACTGCTTTTATTTCTGTATCTTAAACTCTGAACTTTGCTTTCCTTAGCTCAGTGTGTCTCTGCTTTAAACTATAAATCCACACTCTCACTTCTGGCTGCTCAGTTTGGGAGCCTTTCCCAAGGTCTCAGATCAAATCCTGGGTTTAATTTGAAACTTTGGCTCAGAGGCCCAAAATTCTGAGAGTTCCCTGCATTTCAGATTCTAACAGAAACTGGAATTACCTGTCCAAGGTGGGCAGGGGCATGGCAGCTTTGGCACTGACACCAACTATGAGCTGTGAAATGGGAATTACCTGTCCAAGGTGAGCAGGGGCACAGCAGCTTTGGCACTGACACCAAATATGAGCTGTGAAATGGGAAAATGGGAATTACCTGTTCAAGGTGGGCAGGGGCATGGCAGCTTTGGCACTGACACCAAATATGAGCTCTAAAATGGGAATTACCTGTCCAGGGTGGGCAGGGGCACGGCAGCCTTGGCACTGACACCAAATATGGGCTCTGAAATGGGAATTACCTGTCCANAAATGGGAATTACCTGTCCAGGGTGGGCAGGGGCACGGCAGCCTTGGCACTGACACCAAATATGGGCTCTGAAATGGGAATTACCTGTCCAAGGTGGGCAAGGGCACTGCAGTTTGGCACTGGCCACAATAAATACACCAAATAAGAGCTCTGAAATTGAGATTACCTGTGCAAGGTGGGCAGGGGCATGGCAGCTTCGGCACTGGCCATAATAAACGCATCATTTATGAGCTGTGAAATTGAGATTACCTGTCCAGGGTGGGCAGGGGCACGGCAGCTTTGGCACTGGCCACAACAAATACATCATTTATGAGCTCTGAAATTACCTGTGCAAGGTGGGCAGGGGCATGGCAGCTTTGGCACTGACACCAAATATGAGCTCTGAAATGGGAATTACCTGTTCAAGGTGGGCAGGGGCACGGCAGCTTTTGACTGGCCACAATAAACACATCATTTATAAGCTGTGAAATTACCTGTGCAAGGTGGGCAGGGGCACTGCAGCTTTGGCACTGGCCACAATAAATACAGCAAATATGAGCTCTGAAATTACCTGTGCAAGGTGGGCAGGGGCACGGCAGCTTTGGCACTGACACCAAATATGAGCTCTGAAATTACCTGTCCAAGGTGGGCAGGGGCACGGCAGCTTTTGACTGGCCACAATAAACACATCATTTATGAGCTGTGAAATGGGAATTACCTGTCCAAGGTGGGCAGCTAAAATGGGAATTGCCTGTGCAAGGTGGGCAGGGGCATGGCAGCTTTTGACTGGCCACAATAAACACATCATTTATGAGTTGTGAAATGGGAATTACCTGTCCAGGGTGGGCAAGGGCACTGCAGCTTTGGCACTGGCCACAATAAATCACCAAATATGAGCTGTGAAATTGAGATTACCTGTGCAAGGTGGGCAGGGGCACAGCAGCTTGTGACTGGCCACAATAAATACATCATTTATGAGCTGTGAAATTGAGATTACCTGTCCAAGGTGGATAGGGGCACGGCAGCTTTTGACTGGCCACAATAAATACACCAAATATGAGCTCTGAAATTACCTGTGCAAGGTGGGCAGAGGCACTGCAGCTTTGGCACTGACACCAAATATGAGCTCTGAAATTGAGATTACCTGTCCAAGGTGGGCAGGGGCACGGCAGCTTTGGCACTGACACCAAATATGAGCTGTGAAATGGGAAAATGGGAATTACCTGTCCAAGGTGGACAGGAGCACTGCAGCTTTTGACTGGCCACAATAAATACATCATTTATGCATTGTGAAATGGGAATTACCTGTGCAAGGTGGGCAGGGGCACGGCAGCTTTGGCACTGACACCAAATATGAGCTGTGAAATGGGAATTACCTGTCCAAGGTGGGCAGCTAAAATGGGAATTACCTGTGCAAGGTGGGCAGGGGCACAGCAGCTTTGACACTGACACCAAATATGAGCTGTGAAATGGGAATTACCTGTCCAGGGTGGGCAGGGGCACAGCAGCTTTTGACTGCCCACAATAAATACATCATTTATGAGCTCTAAAATGGGAATTACCTGTCCAGGGTGGGCAGGGGCACGGCAGCCTTGGCGCTCTCCACCGGGTAGCGCTCCCTCACCGCAAACCGCACGTCGTCGGCGCCGTCGGTGCGGAACCTCAGGATGTTGAGGATCAGGTACTCGTGGTCGGTGAGGACAACGTTGCCCTGGGAGCACAGGGACCCTGAGTGAGGCCAGCACGCTGTCCCTGCCCCAGGGGACACTGGCAGCCTGGGGGAACCCAGGATGTTCCTCCAGCTGCCCTGGATGGCTCCAGAGCCAGGCCCCTGTGCCTTGGATTTTGAGCCATGGAAAAAATGTCCAATCTCATATGAGGATTTACAAGCCACCAAAGCTTAAGTAGAATGATAGTTAGTTTGTCACAGGGTGAAAAGTAGAATTTTGAGGTTTTTAGAATGGGGGCTCAGGGTCCCAAGATGGAGAAATCTGGGCATGCCTGTCTTAAAGTAGTAGTTTAAGAATAAAAAGAAGTTTCTCCTTCTTCCATCTTTTGGGTGATGGTGGCACTTTTGGATTGGTTTAGGGTAGAGACAGACTGCCTAACATAGGTTTGGAAAATTATTGTAAATAAAGTACATGTAGCTTTTAGAATAAAAAGTAGTAGTTTTTAGAATAAAAGGTAGTAGTTTAAGAATAAAAAGTAGTAGTTTAAGAATAAAAGGTAGTAGTTTTTAGAATAAAAAGTAGTAGTTTAAGAATAAAAGGTAGCAGTTTTTAGAATAAAAGGTAGTAGTTTAAGAATAAAAGGTAGTAGTTTAAGAATTAAAGGTAGTAGTTTAAGAATAAAAGGCAGTAGTTTAAGAATAAAAAGTAGTAGTTTAAGAATAAAAGGTAGTAGTTTTTAGAATAAAAAGTAGTAGTTTAAGAATTAAAGGTAGTAGTTTAAGAATAAAAGGCAGTAGTTTAAGAATAAAAGGTAGTAGTTTAAGAATAAAAAGTAGTAGTTTAAGAATAAAAGGTAGTAGTTTAAGAATAAAAGGTAGTAGTTTAAG